TGTGAACACGATTGTGTATTGTCAGTTCATTTCTTTGTGCAAAACTCTTGTTACATAAACTACAAGAATAAGGTTTTTCACCAGTGTGAACACGATTGTGTCTACTCAGATCACTTCTTTGTAAAAAACTCTTATTACATATACTACAAGAAAAAGGTTTCTCACCAGTGTGAACACGATTGTGTATTGTCAGTTCACTTCTTAGTGCAAAACTCTTGTTACATAAACTACAAGAATAAGGCTTCTCACCAGTGTGAACACGTTTGTGTATAGTCAGTTTACTTCTTCGTGAGAAACTCTTATTACATATATTACAAGAAAAAGGTTTCTCACCAGTATGAACATTACTGTGGCTAGTCAGATTACTTCTGCTTGAAAAACTCTTATTGCATATATTACAGGAAAAAGGCTTTTCACCCATTTGAACACGATAGTGTTTAGTCCTGTCACTTCTACGAGAAAAACTGTTATTGCATATACTACAAGAATGAGGTTTCACACCAGTATGAACATGATTGTATTCAGTCACATTACTTCTTTGTGAAAAACTCTTATTACGTATATTACAAGAGTGAAGTTATTAACCAGTATAAGTTTGACTGTTACATTACTTTTCTATAAAAACACATATTTTATAAGTAAAACACTTTTCACATAAACATGATGAAGAGTTTTACAGAGAATGTTTGCAAATTTAGACTTTAACACAAACTGTCGAAATAAATTTTGCACCAAAGTTTTAAATGCATTGTCATGAGTACAAGGAAACTCTAAATAATATTTGCAATGATAATGTTCCTCTTTATAGATTAATAATGAAGATTCTCTAATGAATGACGATAATTGTGCCATACGAACAATATCTGTAACAGGTAAACAGTTTATAGAAATTAAGCTTTACATTATTTAAAAACACTTTTTACCATTTATTGCTATGAAATATTTTCCATCATACATTGCCTATGTCTTTTCACCAAACATTGTGCTAGTATCTCAGTAGAATATCCATTTAAGATGATAAATGATATACAAATTTAGTACACATTTTTACATATTCAGATAACGGATTTCCTAACTCATCTACATCAATGCTTCGATTGGTTAGTTTGAATGATTGACTGAATGAGTGTTGTATAATGAGACGAGATCTTTTTTTCAGCGTATAGCTTACTATATTCATTAATAAGGCTTTCCTTGAGGCTAAATAGATAGCAGATTCCATACAATGAATGGCTGTCTTTATGCGTGATTGCAGCACTCAAAGACGCCATCTGGGGAGAAGACCGGAACCATGCCTTTTGCCCTTCACTCTCTCTTCAGTTGTACAGTCACTCGAAAAAACACCTGAACCCCAAACCTCGCACAAGTTTCTAGAGCAGGGATCGCCAAACTTTTTTGATCATCGACCCCTATATAATTTTTCGAAATCTCCATCGACCCCACAAAAGTAATTTTCTGTTAATTAAAATAAAACTCTATTAGATACTGTGTTTGTACATTTATTTTATGATTTTAAACACTTATTAAAGTAATAGTACATTGTGTAACAATAGTTTTATGAAAAATATATTAATATTGAAATTTAAATACCTTATTATTAAATAATAAGTAACTATGCATAAGTAGATATAATAAGTAAAGTAACTAAAGATTTACTGCTTCTTGATCAATGAGGTGGGTGTGCCTGGTGTTTTTTTGCAAGGTTCGTTATAATGGGTTCAAAATTGGTCAATTTTAATTTTCGTCCAAATTGGTCAATTTTGTAATTTTCGTAAAAAAATACAAAGTGTACTATAGTTTTGTCGCGGGCTGTACTAATCCNTAATGCTTACCTTCTTTTTTGTGCATTGATAATTGAAATAGATATCTAAACTAAACGACTGGTTTTATTGAAGCAATAATTAGTTATCCAAAACTATAAAAGTTTTAATAATTACACTGTAAATATTCAACACAGTTTGCAA